ATAATCTTTGCGGATGATAAATTATATAAAAACTGTCCAATTCTTCTTTTTATCCGAGCGCTTTCGGCTGTACATTTAGCCATTTTCAAGGTTGAAATATATTAACTGTTAACAAGAAATAGTTCGTTGTATGTATGTATTTACATATTGTTTTCCTTTTTAAAACACGGTCAAGATATTGTCATGTTCTGTTTTTATATAATTAATCAACTAAAAAGAAAAAAAAATAGATCATATGAGAAATAGTATAAAAAATTAAATCAAAGCAACTTGTCTGTCATATTCAATGAATTGTGCATGAAAGAAGGATTGCTGTAATATATATATATATATATATATATATATATATATATATATATATATATATGATTTTGTGTTGATTGTTGTCAGAATTTAATCTTTTCTCATTGTCTTAGTATTGCTGAATTTGGTGAACTCAAAAGCGTTTTTGTAATAAGTGCGCATGCCCAAGTTAACAAAGCTTGCGTGCCTAGCGAAGAGGTCGAATTGAAGGGAGGGAGGAAGTTGTTTGATGGAACAGCTCGCGTTTATGATGAACGAAGCTGAAGTTTGCGTGGAATTCAGCGGCCAAATGTTGTTGCTATTAGAAACCATTTTACAGCAATAAACGCAGAATTAAAAAAGCAAAAAGAAAGAAACGTTAAAATAAGCGGAGAGGTTAAATAAATAAATGCATTCAAATGAACAAATTAAATCGAGAAAAATCAGTTAAAAAGCAAATACGAAACGAGGTAAAAATGGAAGTAATAAGAAAGAATATAGTTGTATAAAAAAAATATAGTTGTATAAAAAAATGAAATATATCAACAAGTGAAACGAAACTTAGTCAACGAAAAAAAACAACAGGAAAAATGTAACGAGCATATATAGAAAAATAAAATATAAATTTGAAAGTGGAAAATGAAAATAAAATCTACAAAAATAAAATGCTTAAAAGGTTTAAATTAAAATCAAGTAAAAAATAAATTAAATGTAAAGAAATAGAAAATAATTGGTAAAATGCAAATAATAAAACTGAAATTGAATAAAATAAAACAATTTTTTCCAATAATAAAACGAAATGGATATACAAACTACGAATAATATAAACGAATAATCAGCTGAAAATAATAGAGACATTGAAACAATTTGACAAAGATAAGTAGGAAACAATAAAATAATGAAAAAGAAAAGTTTCAATAGAATTGTCGAAATAATAGCAAAAAAACAAGACATAAATAAAAAAGGAAGAAATTGCGTAATAAAAAAAATTTGAAAATAATAAAGAAAAAACAGAAATGAATAAATCAAAACAAATGCTTAAGTAGAAATTTGAACGTCGCAAAAAGTAATGTCACTTTGAGTAATGATAAATAGAATGAAATAAAATTACTAAATTGAAATATCGAATTAGTAATATTGATGGCGACCTGAGAGTTTATTTCAGCCTAATCATCCACAACCGAACACAAAACCAAATAGGGAGACAAACATAGAAATTTATTCAAGATATATAAGAAATGGTTCAATATCAAAAACACTTGCGAACGCTAATGAGAGTTAATTTGGTTTTTCTCAGGAAATTTCTGTCGATTTAGACGAGAGACTGAATTTTTAGTTTTTAGTTTTTTAATTTAACCAAAAGATGATTTGAATACGGATTCGAAATGAAGTCATTTTAGACATTTTTAAGGAGTGTTTGGCGATCAATACAATTTTCCTGCGAAATATTTAAGAGGAATAGTGTGCGTACCACTTTGCATATTGAAGTAAATATGACTAAATACATTATTGCGCATGCGCTTTTATAGAGAATGGCGTCATTTTTCAGAGTGAAAGTTCGTACGTACTTGGAATCAGTGTAATTTGCATCACATACAAACACACACATAACACACAGATATCAGACACATACACACACAACAGATACACACACACCAAATATACAATAGGAACTGTTAGAAAACAAGAACGAAAAACAAAATTTCTGGAAACTTTTAGCAGAAAAGGGATTTCATGTTCAACCTCTGCCGAATGGTAACATTACTTTAATAAGACTTTCGATGATCTAGTCAAGTAGACATTTAATTTCACTGTTTAATAAACAGGCATGTCTAGTCAATCACATGCACCCACTAAGATAACGGTTATTGTAATATATATATATATATATATATATATATGTGTGTGTGTGTGTGTGTGTGTGTGCGTGTGTGTATTTTACAATTATTTTTTATTAATCCGACAGATTTATACCACTTTAAACGTTATTATTATTTGGGTAGTCGTATATGAGGGGTCGCTCCGTTTATTTATTAAAGAGTATATTTATTTATTTTCGCCTACCGGCCTAAATGTTCGAGAAATCTTCAAGAAAAATTAACGCACTATGGCAGGATTATATTTATTATGAATAATTAAATAGACTGGTTACTAAACAAACGTGAACATTGAAGTCAACACTTAGAGGCGACAGTCTGTTTCATGCCAGACGTAATCGTCAGGCCGTTGTATATATATATATATATATATATATATAATTATTTTTTATATTTTAATTATTTTTTAATTTATTTTTTATATCTGCTCTACTTTGAGCACTCTTTTAAGAATAGTAATTGTTGGTTATTGGAATTCATTCCGTATATAACCAATTATATACTTTATATATATATATATATATATATATATATATATATATATATATATATATATATATATATATATATATATATATATGTAACGATTGTCATTGAGTTAATCATCTATTTTGGATAATTGCGTGTTCCGAACAATAAAAAATAATGTCGTGAACAACTATATTCTGCGTAACATAAGTTTTTATCTTTTATTTTTAATTTTCCGTCTTTCATTCACCCGTTTCTTCATCTACTTTTCAATTCAACTATTGAAGCTTACGTTAAAACTTTGTTTTTACAATGACTTTTATTTAATATATTTTCAGGCTTTCTAAGAGAGAAGGTTGGATTGAGATACAAATATATCTATACAGACACGAACTGCCAGACCTCCCCATAGCTTACATGGGCTTATTTATGTATCTAAATATTTCATAAGATTTACCTGACACAAGGTCATTATAATGAGGCACAGTATAAAGTATGAACACGGTTTAATAACTAATAAGTTAATTGTAGTTTAATCATTTAAGAAAGATAGTGGTAAAAAGTGAAAAAAGGCAAGTGAATTGAAAATGAAAGCAAAGGACTCATTGGTAAAGAAACATGCAGAGATAGTAAGCATATATGTAAGTATTTGTGTATACATGCATTATAACCGAAGTAATAGACCCCAAAAGGAAGCACCTACATTTACTTGAGAGATTAGCTACCCATATATGCTATAAAAATCTGGGGATATTCATAGGTACATATGCATGCATATATATATATATATATATATATATATATATATATATATATATTCCTTGAAAAATATTTAAAAATATGGTAATATACATCCACTCACTTGATATGAAAAAATAATTTTATATACTGTAAGTAATTCTAGTACGTTTACTTCTTTTAAAAGAAATATAGTCTATTAAAAATTAAAAGTGAAAATATTTTAAAATTGTAGTTAAATAAAACGTATTTTAATCTAAACATCCCCCCAAAATCTTTAAGTATACAAATAGAAAAAATACCTTAAGAATTTTTTCCGTTAACAATAATTAAAAAAAAAAAACCCAGACAACATGCATTTAACGATGTCAGAATTCGTTGAAAAATACATCCCTACCCTCCCTAAAATTAACCCCTTTTTCGAACGTAACTAATAACGGATACAACAAAAGTTAATAAAAATAAACACGCTACCACCCCTTGTCTGAATGATTGGATCTATCTGTATCCTTGGAAACAGTGAATTATGAATTTTTCGGTGCCTTTAAAACTCAGTAAATTTAAAAAAATAAGTTACTCTAAAATTCGCTTGAGGATAAAATGGAACTAATGTTTTTAACTTAATTACAAAATTAAATTTGAAGCTTTTAGCTTCCATTTTTGAAACATGGTTATTACTGTGTAGCGAAAAACATTTTGAATCAGTTAATTTATAATATATATATATATATATATATATATATATATATATATATATATATATATATGAATAAGCTGGGATATTCATGTATACATATGCATATATATGAATAGGTAGAGATATTATAAAAATAATGACATACGCAGGAATAAACACACGTATATATATATATATATATATATATATATATATATATATATATATATATAATAAAAAATATACTTTTAAGGTATACTATATTTTTGGGGTAAAAGTGCTCAATGTTTGAAATAGATTAATTATGTAAATATAAAAGTTAACACTGAGCGGCGACAGACTGTTTCATGCTTAAACGTAACCTTCGTGGCCTGAAGATTGTGGACAAACATGAAACAGACTGTCGCCGCTCGGTGTTAATCTCCCCTTTTACACACACACATACACATACACACACGAAAAGGGCTGAAATGTTGTCAACAGGATCCAGTTACCAAATTTGACCGAATACCCAAGCCTCAACATTTCATATTCTTTGTTGGGTAGAGAACTTTTCACACGCTCACGTGTGTGCTTTTGCACACACACACACACACACACACACACACACACACACACACACACACACACACACACACACACACACACACACAGACAGACAGTCCACCAAAAATATATGCACACTTCAGGAAAATCTTGTCTAGATATTGTAATACAATATTTAGACATCACGAGATTAATAGAAGTTACATTTGGATTCTACAATCGCAAGTGATACTTAAAATGGTGGCCCTTAGCTTAAAGTACGGCGATCTGCTTCTTGGGCATCGTTGGCCAAAGTGTCCAGTGGGATTGTTGCACATGCATTTTCAATTTATTTTCTAAAGGACTTGATGATGTTACAGCCATAAGCGTAATGCCATCTGTCGAGAAAATATCGTATTACAGGAAACAGTGTT